GGACAACATCTCAGGCTTGGATTGACAGGATCATACATGCCATACTCCACCCAAGGTCCAGAACTCATCTGATCTGGATTTACAAACAGTCATTTTCACTCTCCAACCAAGTGAGCAAGGAGAATTCCACTTTCCCATGGAATTATGGAGAGGATGTGGAACCAAGGGCCTCATTATGTTTGGATTTACGAGGAGATAGTGGACCCCCTGCATGAACAACCTAAGACCTGACAGTGTTGATAAGAGGATACAAGCACACCCCCACTGGATAGCTAAGTGTCAAATCTATACTGGTTTTACAAGTAGACTCCCATGTAGGTTGGTCCTGCTCCTACCGATATCTGGGGAAAACTTCCAGAGACCCAGGTAGGAGAGTCCCCAACTTCATCCCCTTCTCCGAGAGTGGAGAAAACTCAACACTCAGGAGGAAAATCCTCTGTCCACCACCCCAGCGACTGGGAACTTGGTATGGTAAGAACTCCCTAGCTCCACTAGAAACAGTAGGGGGACATGTGTGCAATGGGGAGTCCTGAGAAACAGGTCTCCGGAGACAGTGCAACAAGTGAACCATGTTCCCCAAGTTTAAAAAGCAAATTGATCTCGACTGATTCAGCTCTAAGATCAGCAGGGACTGGCAAAATCTTCTTTAGCTTTACTCATGATAGTCCATGAGTAGCGGTCCGTTGGATTTGTGTTGTGAGATAATACTACCATCCAAAATTGCATCTAGATGGTCTTATGAAACACCTAATCTCAACAGCCTGTTGCAACCATGAACCAAGATAAAGGTTGCTAGTGCAGAATTGACTTGGCAACACTCACCACTGAGTTGGATCCAAAGGAAATAAAGAAAGACCCTAGAAGAAAAAAAAAAAGTGTTAATCAGGTAAGAAAATTACACACCTCTTTGTTAAAATCTAGCCGAGGTAGTCAACATAGCCATAGGGAAGGGGGAGGCAAAAATCCCACAGAAGAGGAAACTGCTAGATCATGAAGGTAATGAGATAAGAAAGTGTTGGGAGTAGTCCACATACCGGCCCGCAAAATATCCCTCAGAGAAAAGTTCAGATGAGTGGACAATGACATTGATAGATGCCAAATCTGGTGTGAAGTGATGTCGAGTATATTCCAATCTACAACAGATAACCCTGAATAGGCTATAGGAATCAACTCCTGAAGTCTCCTGGTTAAAGTAATGGGTGATAAATCCAGGGACACTGCAGGATCCCACTAAATACAAAACAAGTGCATAGGGCCCCTGAACAGTTCCATACAAGCCACAGAACATCTAAGTGCTCCGAGTGGACATAAAAGATCTGGGTATGATAGATTGTAAAGATGAGAAGTGCCTGGGAAAAGATCAGGAGAAAAAGAGAATTTATTACCCTTCTCTGGCAGCGAGAGTGAGTGTTCAGTAGGAAGGATCTGTCTAAATAGAGCAAAAAATAGGTGGAAGGATAGAGAGTCTGCTGAATAGGGATGGCAAATAAATCAGAACAGCTGTGTCTGGAAGCTAACAACATTAGAAATATACCTCGAGGGAAAGGTGATACAAAGAAGTGGGGGCCCATAGGTTTGAATGGATAAAGTGATAACGAATGAAATAACAACTCTAAAATCCCAATTAGGCAATTGAAATGGTCGTTTGGGATGAAGAATATGAAAGTATCATAAAACAAGACAGCACAAGAGTCAAAACATTCATATATGTAGAAGAGTGAAAGGGAGCAGCGAAGGATGTTGTATATAATGCAAAATAGAAACCAAACCTTTCAAAAATCCATATAAAAAACTTCAAACTATGGAGACTGTTGGATGAAGTAGATTGAAGGCTCCCCAAAGACAACACTGACAATATGTAGTCCATTTCTATTAATAGATTGCCACAGTAAGTTGATGGAGGATATAGTCAAATAAATGGAAACTGTAAAATTTAAACCCCTATGATTGGACAAAGGACTGCATAACTTCCATGCATGAAGCTGGAGTCGTTAAATGTCCAGGTGTTGAATGTTGGACTGAGGTTGTCTTGACAAGGATGAATGAAGAGGTAGTGGTAAACATTCCTAGAGCAACTGAAGAGGAAACCATGTCTGAGCAGGCCAAAAAGGTGCTGACAAAAGAACCCAACATGGGGTGAAATGAATCATGGACAAGAGTCGGGGTAAGAGATGAATAGGAGGAAAGGCATACAAATGGAATCCTGTTCAGTCTTGACTGAAAACACCTATCACCAGAGCTTGTGGATGTGGAATAGGAGACCAGAACTGTAGGCTAGCATTTCAATGGGTTGCAAAGGTATCGATCATTGGTGAGTCAAACTGAGAAAAAATCCATTGAAAGACCACCTGATGGAACATCCATGCTGGTGGAAGAATCTGATGGCGCTGAGAAAGGTGATCTGCCATCAAAATCACAACCTCTGGCACATGGCAGGCCAAAAGATGGATGTCATTGGAATGAGCCAAAAAGGAAGATCCAAAGCCTGGAAACCACGACTTCAAGACTGAGAACTTCCCTGATGAGAAAGATATGAAACCACTGTGGAGTAGTCAGAATGAATCATGACCATTTTGTCATGCGAGAGAGGAAGACCGGGAATCATCGCTAGATGTACTGCAAGAAGTTCAAGAGCATTGATATGCAGGGTAGATTCATAGTCGGTCCAAATACCCTGAAATGCATATGGGCCTGATCCAATGGTATGAGAGATTCTAGGGAAGCCCAAATCTCCAAAACAGAAAGAACCATCCATGCAGTGGGAGAAGGTGACATAAGCAAATGCCTGATAAACCCTTCCCTAGTGTGAAATCTGAGGGGAGAAGGTTGAGCTCGACTCAAAGTGCATTGAAAAACACCCCAAGATAGACCATGTATAGAACTGGTGAGAGAATGGATTTTTCCAACCTGATATGAAGTCCGCCCTTCTGGTGTTGGAAAAGAGAATCTGTGGATGTAGTGTGGCAACATTACAGTCTGGTGCCAAAAGGCAATCTTTCAAACAGTGATGTGTGCACAGACCCAGAAAATGAAGATGCTGCTCAAAGGCCCGTACTACTCAGCAGAAAACATATAGTGCTGAAGCAAGTCCAAATGGGAGAGCTTGGAACTGCTACATCTGGTCCTCGTGCAAAAAATGTAGAAATCGATGAAAAGACTCTGCTATGGGGATGTGAAGGGAAATCTCTATAACATCAAACTTGGTCATCCAAAGAACTGATGTGAAGTGCCATGGAAGTTGAAGAAAAGATACCATGGTGAAGTAAGGAGGCTGTAGGAAAAGATTGAGTCAAGACAGATTTATAAGATGCCAATCTCTAATGTTCTTGGTCATCAGAAAAAGATGAGAATAGAATCCTCAATGAACGGGACCGACCTTCTGAATGGGTAGTAACCTACGCTACTGGTGTCATCCCGACCTTCCTAGAATCCCCGAGAATACGGACCAAAAAAGTTAACCAAAAAACATAATTCCTTGCACTTTGTCAAGAAAAAGTGATTATATACAGTACCTGCATAGTGGGCGTGTGAGGGCTGGTGTAAAGATTTGCAAATTAGATATTGCCAAGGACAGTCGAGTGGGTATAAAGACTGGGGCAAGCAAACACAATGTTTAGATGAAGATCGAGAAATAGCTACAAGCGTCAGCAGAGGTATGTATGTTTTGGAAATTATAAGTCTATTTGTCTTACCTCTAAAATGAATTCATTAAAGGGTAATCTTGCTTTAGTAATTCCTTTTTTGACAAAGATATTACTTGTTACCTGAATGAGGGAAAAGGTATGAACTTGGTGTATATAGATTTCCAAAAAGCTTTTAATAAGGTACCACACAAAAGATTAGAATATAAAATAATCTCAGTAAAGATTGGGGAAATACTGAACTGTAGAGTGGTTCAATGGGAGAAAGCAAAAAGTTATTAATGGAGTCTCAAACTACATCATTGTTACTAGTAAAGTACCTCAAGGGTCAGTGCTTGGACCCTTTGCATTTTTATTATTTACAACAATAATATTGATAAGGGCATAATTAGTGCAGTTTGCTAATTACATTAAATTCTTGGGTATATCTAGCTGTGCTGAGGATGTTGAGGTATTATGAAATAAGCTGAATCAATTGGTAAGATTGATAAATATTTGCCAAATGAGCTTTAATTATACTAAGAACTAGGTAATGCATTTTGGTTATCATAATTTGAATCACACATTTAATATAGCTGGAACATCATGATTGAAGAAAAGTATCTTGGCATAGTGGTGGATAAGTCACACAAGCTGATGAAGCATTGCTCTGTTGCTAAAGTCAATATAATTATAGGGTGTATCTAGACATACTTATTACAGGTCAAAAGTAAAAATGGTACATTTATAGACAATTTTATTACAGGTCAAAAGTTGTAATTATTTCTCTATACAAATCACTAGTTGGCCTCATTTTAATACTGCTTACAGATTTTGTCTTATCTAAGCATTTATATCTGATTTCTTGGAAATGGTTCAGAGGAAGGTTTCTAGGATTATTCTGGGAAACTAAGGGCAATCTTAAGGAAAATCTGAAATAAAAACACTAAGATTTTTGAAAAGTTTCAGCGTGCCTACTAGGATGATTCCTGGATGAGCTGGATGCCATATGAGAATAGGTTGAAATCAGTTGCTTTCTCATGAAAAGGGTCAAATGTGATTAAGTATTCAAAACTATTGAAAAAATGATTGATGCATCCCATTCTTCATGTTGAATGTTCAGGGCTTTAGAATAAGAGGTAATAAATGTGATACTTGGAAAGGTCACACATCTCTAGTTGAGACAGTTTGATGTCCCCAACAGGGTTGTAATGTGCCAGCTATAATAGTAGAGGCTGCAACTTCACAGTTGATAATTATTTGGGAGATCAATGTTTGATTTAGTAATTATATTTTCTGTTTGTAGAAGGGCTTTGAGCATTAAGATATATATGAGGGGGTCAATGGGTCTCTTGAATCAGTTATATTCCCATAGTTTATAAAAATCTACTTAAGACACTAAGTACTGAAAATCTTCAACTTTATTCTAATGTTCAATGGTTGTTTATGGAGAACTTAACAAACATTTGTAATTCAAATACCTTCATAAAAGGGAAGTGACAGTTTTATAAGATATATTTCTAATTGTAATAGTATGCAGCCAAGTCTTGTGTAATGTGACAATGATAGAGAAGACTTGCATTTTCTTTTACACAAAAAACATAAGTACAAGTACCATTTCGAAGCTTATGCCTTCATAGCCACATTGTTCCTGTCCCATTAAACACCCACAAATGGTAACTTTTTACTATATGAATAAAATGCATATTTATATATATATATATTTAAAAGTTATTAAAAATGGAGGGTATAATGGAAAAGTAGTCAGTTTTTTAGTGGTTACCATAACAAGCAGCATGACATGGGTGTCAATTTTGTACTAAACTTACTTTACATTGATTGAGACCAGTAAATATAATGTGGTCTTTTCATTTCAAGCCTTTCCACATAAAGGTTTTAGTGTAAGTTTGGAATTTCAATGTTTTGCATTTAACCTATGACATATGATAATAATTTGATCAACTACCTATATTTAGCTAGGTAGTATAATTTATAAACACTAGCTTACACTTGATGAGGTAAATTTTAAACATAAATTAAACAGACGTGCAATTTGGCTAATATTTTGAAAGATAAACTGCATACCCTTGGTGAAGACCTGATAGATCTGGTGAACATCTACAAGTAAAGGTGAACACTCAGTCCAGAATGAGCTTTCTTTTTGAAGCTCTTGTAATGCACTTAAATATCTTACCATAAACACATTGCAGGTTATTTGAAGGAGACTGCACTCCTCCTATTTTTTCTCTCTAAAAATGTGGAAAACACACTAACTGGCTGAAGATGAGCAAAATCTCCGCAAGGATTGCAATAACATTTATTCTCCAAGAAAATTGTTTTAAGACGGGGGAAGTCAATTGGAAGTGAGAGGGTGTAGAAATCTAGTCGAGACACTTGGCAGAAATGGCAAAGCAGTTGCATCACTTCTTGTTCAAAGCAGCCTATTTCAAAGTAGAGATATGATTAAGATTTCTGTCTGAACTTGGTACATTTATTTCATTAAATTTAATAGTAATCTTGAAATTTACTTCTATGGAAAACTACATTCTATATCAAGAAATAAAAAATATCCTAAAAAAATATGTCGCGTTTTGGAACACTTTCATTAACCCCCCCCCCAAAAAAAAACGTACATCATGTATAATAGTTAAACCAATCACCTAAACATCACATTAGTGTAGCCTATATAATGTGCAAAGTTCAGTATACTCTAATCCCTTATAGTGATGGCACATGATGAGACACACATTCAGCATGTAATGCTGTTTGAATACAACATGGGAAACAATACCTCTATAGCCACAAAGAATATCAAAGAAGTTTATGGAAATGTTTTGAACATTCGTAAATGTCAACGGTGGTTCAGAAAATTTTGTTCAGGTGACTTTAGCCTTCAAAACTGTAATGGCAGGGGTCGACATGTTGTAATTGAT